TTAAATTTTTATTTTTATTTAATTTAAATAAATATTTATTAAATAATAACAAAAATAAAAAGTGCTATTTTTTTTGTTCCATACTATATGTAATCCAATTATTCTAATTAAAATTTTTTGGATTGCAAATAGGATAGAACTAGATTGATTTATTTTTTTTGGATTAATTGCAAGTCTTGGAGAATAAATTTCTAGTTGTTGATATGAAAAGTTTGAATATTAAGTTGCTAACCAGTGAAGATCTCTGCTTTTCTTTAAGAAGAGTTATATTGAGGCTGCTGTGATTAATAAGAATTGCATTTAAGCATCTGGATGTGATTTTGTAAGCTGATTTGATAAGTCTGTTGATCTTTAATTGAAGTGTGTTAAGAATGGACTTGTTAAAATATAATAGGGATAGAAAGTATTCAAATTTGTCCATAATAATCCAATCATAAATTTGTTATTTGATTTTGCCTTTCCAGTTATGTTTGGAAAGTTCTTTTAGAATTGTGTCTGTGATTTCATTGAAAGTCTTTTTATTAGACTTGAGTAAGTTTCTGGAGGAAATAAGTGCTTTTAGATATTTAATGCTTTTGTGAGACTTGAAAATCTGAATTATGTGATTGTCGAATTTGATTAAGTTATTAAGGACCTGTTTGATCTTGATGTTGGAGATTATTCTGATTTTGTCTTTGTTACAAATAATATTGTTTATTGTAAAGAATTGATTGGCTGTTGAAAGAAGATCTTTCATCAATTGTTTGTTATCAGCAATAAGAGCAAAATCATTCATGTATACCAGGGCATTGGAAGCAATGTAGGTTTGAATTGGCTTGTGACTGGCTAATTTGGTGGCAAGAGAGTTATAGAATATTATCCAAATAATAGGTGATAGTTAAGGATCTTAACAATTCTCTTCAATTCTGTATTTTATTCTCAAGTTTATATTAAATTTAATAGATAGGTATATCCTATTATCATTTTTAATAGTGTTCCGAATCTTATGCAATTTTCTGCGATTCTGTTTGATTTCAATTTTCAGAACTATAATGATAGTGTTTCTCCTTGCTCTACTTCATTGTTTACTGTGAAAGGTTTTGTTACTCTAAATAATATGTTAATGAAGACTTTTTTGTTATTGAGAAGATTTATAGTTAGGTCAATAATAGTTGTAGAGCAATTTATTCTTTTAAGAGATTTTTTAATGATCGAAATGAGTGCCAAGTTGAAAGCTTTCATTATATTAAGTGATGCAAACCAAAATTCTTTATTGTTTGTGTTGACTGCATTTATAACAGAATAGACTATTGTTAAGAGTTTCATTGTGCTTTGGTTTGGAAGACCAGTAACATTTAATATATTAATATATTGTTTTTAATATAAATAATCAATATAAAATATAATCAATATTTTGTATTACATTAAATATTTTGATAAAATAAGTTGATTTAGATATATAATTAAATAAAAATTACAAAACTAAAGAAAAACCAAAAAAAATAAAATATTTTTTGAAATAGTTGTTTAATTAGTATAGGTAATATTAAGATAATATATTTATTATAAAATAGTAATAAAAGTAAACAAAAAAATTCTTTAAAAAAAACTTATTATATTTTATTTTAATAAAGCAAATATAATAGAAAGTATTTAATACGCTCTTACATCTTAACAATAATATGGTAGCCGATATCAAACAGATCCTCATGACAGACAGGTTCTTCATCACCATAGATCTAGACATCAAGGACAGTCTCATAATAGCCAGAGCAAATCATGCGATGCTTATATGTTACTCTGAATATAAACAGTCCATCAGTACACTCTTAGTTCTAATTGAAATCCTAGCAGCAGCCAAAGACAATTTATATATGTCAATTAATATCACCAAAGTCTCTAATCTATCTACTCCAAACTATACTAATCACAAGGTCAAAACAGTCTACAGTTATCTAGTAGACTGCATCTCTATACTTAACGAGTCAAAAGAAATCAGGTTACAACTAAACAAACTTGAGAGCCCTCTCAACCTTCAAGAAAATGACTTAATAATCTGTATAGACAACATAATAGAAATTAACAAGTATATTATTAGTTCACTTATCAAGAACATGTGGGGATATAGTGCAGTAACTTGTCTTAAAAAAGTCCAACAGTCCTATAGGCTTATTAATCTAATCAATAGCTCATCAATTAAAAACAAATGGAACCAAACACTATCATCAGAGACACTACAGCATCTTGCAATCGCAAACAACTTATTAATCAAAAAAGATAAATATAATTCCTTATTCCTGTTAATCTTTAGAAACAAAATTCTTAGTGAAACCCTCCCCACAAGAAAGTTACTGCATGAAATATATCCTGACAATTATCAAAACGATCTGTGCCTTAGATGCTCGATAGCACCAAAAACTCAGGAACATGTGTTCAAATGCTACAAAAATATTGAAGCATATGAGAAAATCGAAACCAAAATGAATTCTAAACTAAAGAAGCTCTCAAATAAAGTTAATATAATATCTCAACACCTATCAGATCTCAACATCAATAGGAAATTATAACCAGAGAAGATAGCATATAGTATAACAACTTTTAACACACATCTTTCAAACAAAAAGCTAGCTAAGTTTACAAATAGCATTTTGAAGCTTCTTTATACACTGGTATGGATGCCCAGATTAGTAATGGCAAACATATCAATATCAACAGGTATCAAATGAATCAAAGCTTGATACAGTATACAAAACACTAAAATAAAGAACACAAAAAACCCTTTACAAGAATCAATCCTCCTGCAACAAATTATCATCATATCAGACTCACAATGCATCAAATCAAATAGCATACTCAAATTATTGGAACTACTTTCAGCTATGGAAGGATATTAACCATTAGCACTAGAGCCAATCTAAGTTACATCAAGTGTAATTAGGATAGCAATAGTTAGCATCATAGATAGGTTAATATTAATTTACATACGTTGTGTAAAGATATTTGATGTAATTTGTGTATCAATATATATACTTAATAAAGTTTTGCATCTAATGCCCTTTTATGATAAAAAAAAAAAATAGAAAGTATTTAATTTTTATTTCAAAAAAAATATTTGTTAACTTGAAATTTCTATATTTTAGAGTTTAATTAATAGTTGTATTTTTAATTTTTAAAGAAAATATATTAATAATTAAAATTATTTATCAATTTATTATTTTTAATATATTATATAAAAATTTTTTTTATAAATTATAAGATTTTTTAAATATATTTAATATGCTATATTTATAGTTTTTATATAAGAAATTATATTTTGTCAATTATTATAATATATAAAATAAACAAACAATTAATTTTTAAAAATTATGTTATATTATAATTTTTTGTATAATTTTTTATTATTACAAAAAAATAATTATTATGTTATAAATTAAAATTTAAACTAAATAAAATGAATTATAGTTTTGATACAATCAATCAGGTTTAAAATTTTTTTAAAATGATACAAATAGTTAAGATTTTTTAAAAAAATATATTTATTTATGTATTAAGTTTAATAGATATTTAAATATTTAAAATTATAAGTTATAAAAATTTTGAAAGTTTTCAAAAAACTTTAAATATATTTTAACCAAGTATTAAATATGGATTTAGTAATTTTTGAATAAAAAGTTATTTTGTAAAAAAGTTTTTTAACAATATAAATATAAATATAAATATAAATTTTTTATAAAAAATTTGAAAAAAAATTAGCATTATAAAATGGCCTTTTATTGAAATAATTAATTAATTGTTTATTTTACTATCAACAATTGTTTTTATTAATTCATCTATTAAATTTGCAATATATTTTTCAGCTTTTAAAATAGCCTTTTTAACAGGTAAAAAATATCACAACCTTTACAAAAAGTAAATTAATTGTAGCATATTGCAGTCATTTAGATACAAGTTGGGAACAGCACTACATTACTCCCAAACATTTGACGATTTTAGTTTTCTAGTAAATAGTAGTAGTATTGTTGGCGAGGAAACGATCTGCAATTTGCGCTACGTGAGATTGACAGGTAAATAACGTAACAATAAATAATAAACGTTAGGTAAGTATAATTGTATTAATATTTTTTGGGAGATTCACCTTTATTTTTATGCGCACTTTCGTTAGTTATATGCATGATTTTGTCATACTCGTGAAAATACAAAAGATATCAAATATACAAAGGTATCATTTCATGTCATTTACTGTAATCAGTTTCTTAGGCCGTTTTGGCTTACCCTTACGTCGCATTGAATTCCCTATGACATTATCAATTACAGTAACAAGTTCTAAAAACCATGTAATAAGCGCATTGCATTTATTAAAAAACATAATATAAGTTGATTATAGAAAATACACTGTAAATAATATATAATAATTTTCTTATTTGCTAATAACATATAGTACATGAATATAAGTGTCATCAAATTTATGAGGCCATGTTATACTTCTTCTTTAGGCTCCGGAGCCTTAGAGACTCCGGAAAGAAGTTGCATTATTTCATTCATCTCCTTTTCAGTCATTTGGGTTCTTCTAATTTTTAATCCTACAGGCAAAAACAAACCAATAACAAAATACAACGATAAAATTTGGACCCCAAACAAAATCGAAAGAACTTTAAAAGTCATGGATTTTTTTTTCTTAAACAACTCTAAAAGTTCGATTTTGTCATGGAATTGAAAGTCATCTAGCTCCGCCACCAATTGTGGTACAATAACCTTAATTAAAAAGAAAACACTTAGGATAATTGAGAGGAATACTGAAGAAACGATGATTAGAAATTTGTCAATAAGTAAAAATATAAATTCGTCACTGTCGGTAAGCAAGGTGTAAATTGAAATTCCAGCCAGCGCGCAAAGAATAATTGAAAATAGAGTGGCCCATAGAACCCGAAATATTAACATGCGTCGCATATGTTCAGTCAGTTTGCTCATGAAATATAATGGCTTTCGACTATAAATTTCGTTATCACGTCCCAGTTTTCCCATTTCTTTAGAATTTTTATCATTCTTCAATTTCCAATCACCACCGCGACGAGTAACTTCCAATTCATTTTCTTCGGCATACAATTTTTTCATGGTGTCTAATTTACTTTTAAAAATTAGGTTTTTAAGAGACGCTAGACTTCCTGACAGACTAAAAGTGCTCACTATTCCAGAAAAAATAACAGAAAGTGTATTTCTGGCCTTTGACTCTACGACATTTTTCGTAGAGACCAGGAGAAAAACGCCGACTATAAGTGAAGTTAAACACACCATAGTGGTAATAATTAAATTTACATAGGACAATGATTGAAGCTTCTCCCATTTTCGAAACTTTTTTCTTAGTTTTACAAAGTAAAATTTTTCGATGAGAGCATTCGAAGTAATCTCTTGAGCTTCGTTATTTGCGGTTCCTTGGTCTATGTCCTTCATAGCTCCGTATTCTTCCGTCATTTATTTTACTAATCTTTTGGGATTAAAGGGCTTTATTTATACATGTATGTACTTGCGTTATTTATGTATTTATTGTATGGGTGAATCGTTAGTAGTTTGGTTTCTAAATTCCAATTATGTTCGTGATTAATTTGAATTTCTTATTCAAAATTTCTAAATTTGAATTGTTAATGGACTGCCAATTATTTGTGAAATGCAAATACTTTTAGTGCATGTGAAAGAAGTCATTCACGAAGTAAGCAATTAAGTGAAACTTTATCATTCCCAAAAGTCTACTATCTGTTATCATGCTGACGGAACGTTTCCCTGCTCGTATATCATCGGAAATTGTTTTGAGAGAAAGCATTTATCACGAATAATTAAAAATAAAACAAGATTTGGTCTGCCCTAACTCTTTATGTATCGCGCTATACCTGTTCTATAAAATGTTATATAATTTCTTTAATTTAATTGACTACTGTACTGTAGAAATGGTACTATTGAAAAAAAGAGGCAGCGGATGAATTGCCAAAGCAAGGTTTTAGAATGCGTATTTTTATGCATCTCCGTTGATCACAATAGTTATACAAAAATGGACACATGAATTGAGAACACAACTTTTGATTGTAGACACAGTATACGTATACGTACACTATTACACAAAAGTAAAGGCATTAAATAAATATATCGATACTATAGATTAAATTTACAGTAAATATGTAGATAAAAATCAGTTTTTTTTATTAATTATTAATACTGTATATTGTTGTGGGGTGAACTGGGGCACAGATGCACGACGCGATATTATTTTACATAATCATGCGCCAACGAACAAAATTAAAGTGGGAAAATTACAGTATATGAGAAAGTTTAGTAACAGTGTATATGTTTAGTTCGATGAAAAACATAAAAACAGTTTGCACAAGCATAAATGTGAACTTGGTATCATTGTAAAAAAAAATAAGCTAATAAAAGAGAATAAACCAAGTTTTGGATTATATTGTATTTAGTGTTGATTTTATCCCTTTTTTAAATGAACAATTTATAAATCCCTAAATGTACTATAAATTAAGATTTTCATTTCGTGCAAAACAAGAAAGTAATATAATTCTACGTTTTTACATTAATAATAACCTTTGTTTATTGATAATTAACTGCATTGTTACTTTGATAAATATTGTTATGGGAACAATAGGGATGGGGACGCACTTCACGTAACAATAGTGATACCAGATTGATGTAATAATTAGTCATAGCATGTAACTGAGTGGACGCGTCAACAAGACATATAAATAGGATAGTTTATGTTGTTCTTAGAGTCAGTTCGAGATCCGACATTTAGAGATTAGTTTTTTTAGTACACTTCTTTCTTTGCTCGCTCGCGCTTTATTAAATAAATGATATTTTACTTCGCACAATAATATTCACATTCCCTAAAGCCTACGCCACTACAGTAAAGTAAACGACTTTAAGAGAAGAGACGCGAAGTTGCCTTTTGCTCCGTGTAGAGAGTGACACTTGTAATCTTGAGATGCACCTAGAGAGAAAGACGGTCAAAAAGAAATTAGCAAGTGCGCGAAAGTCAATCAAGTCGTAATCCGCCTTAGGGATAAAGCCTACCTTATTTAGTGCCGAAATCCAAGCATTCGGGTTATTGTTGCGCGAAGAGTGAGCCGTTTTAGCGATAGACTCGCTTGTGACGAACAATATTTATTTTATCCTTTTCTAATCTTGATAAAATAATAAAAAATATATCTTAAAAGAATTTTTGTATAATTTTCAGTATTATTATTTTCAATGTAAGTTAAAATATGAAAAATATCCATATATTGTTATTTTCTGTTTTGACATATAAGTAATAAAGCAGTTAATATAACATTTTATAAAACTATGCCTTGTACATAACATTTTTCAAAAATTTAAATTTAAATATATTATTTTTAATAATACTATTTCTTAGTTAATTTTTTTTGTAGCATTAAATTACAATTTGTTTAAAATAATTTAAACAAAATTGACAAACTTCTAATTTTTTTTATCATAAACAGGCATAAAATATAATTTTTTCCATCATTAGCAAGCATTTATTGTGTTTGTTTGATATTTGAAATAGAAAACATAATAGTACAAATATTTAATAGATTCCTTATTTTACAACTTGAGTATTTGTTTTTTCTTGATTTTTTATTTCTAAATATGAAATAAACTTGCTTTCTCTTTTATTTTATTTCTAAAAAGACTTGAGTTCATTGTCAACATTTTGAAACAATATGTTGCTTTATTAAATTAATAATTTTCACAGAATTGAATTAATTGATATATTATAAAAAAGTTATCAAAATAATTAATATCATATACAGTAAGTAAACTCATATTAATAATACTAAAGGTTATGTATATTTAGTACATAAAACTATTATAAATATATATACAATATATATTATAATTCAAACCTTTTTAAAGACAACATCAACATTTTATTAATATTTTTAAATTTAGACCAATAGCTTTTTTTATCTATATCAAATACCAGTAATATTATTTTAAAAATAAGCTTGAAAGAATATTATTTGACATATAAGATTTGAAAAAAATATGTCATTAAAGTGTTATTAAAATTAAATTCAGTTATAAATTAAATAAGTTTAATTTTTTTTGCTAATTAATAATTAATTATAATAGCAAAAAATATTTTAAAAAACAGATATCAGTAAATACATGATATTTAATTATAGATTGGTAGTATATTAGTTAGTATATCTATTATAAAGTTTTTAAATTAAAGATTAGTTAACTACAATTTGATTCTAAAAATATAAAAAACTTTGTATTTGATCTGATTTATTTTTTAAAATTTTCGAATAATTTGACAATAAATTTAATTTCTAAAAACAAAAAAGATCTATATATAACAAATTGACCTAGAAGCCTATTAATAAATAGTTATAAACTTTATTCAATATATAGTACTAGAATAATTATTATTAATAAACAGTAAAGCTATATATAAAAGTGAAATAAGTTCAACGAATTAAAAATCGATTAACAATAAATAGTCTAAAACATTTATAATCGTTTTGGTTAAACCATTGAACTAAAAGTTTTTTATAAAAAAAATTAAAAAATTTAATATTTTCAAAACCTGCTATATGAAATCTTAATTTATCTCTTGATATAATATTTTTTAATAAGAGGTTTAAAAAAACAAATTAAAATATTAAATATTGTTATTATTAATTTTTTGACTTTGAAATAATATATAAAATAAATAATTGTAAGATTAAATTAGACAAAATAGTAATAATTTGTAGTTTTGACAAAAATTAGATATAATAATTTTTTTATTTTCAAGAAATTGTCAAGTATAAATAGCAGATTGTATTAAATTTTAATGGTTTAAGCAAAGTATAAAATTATCTAACACTTATTTCTCATTATCGTGGTCAACAAAATCATTAAATTTTATTAAAGCAAATAATATTCCAGAATATTTAAAACTTTTTTTTTATTTTTTTTATTTTTAGAAAAGTATCTATTTAAAACATTCTTAAGGAATATTTATCTAATTTAAATATATAAAATTTAATAGATTTTTTTACTATAAAAATTTATGGCAATAAAAAAAATTTTTTTATTCTTAAATCTACTTTATAATCGACGCCTGTTGGTGCCCAATTTACACTAATTGTGTGACCACTGTATATATAATTAATACTGTATGTTTATAGTATTTGTTCGCCTCATTTAAACAGTATTTTTCTCTATTGTAAATACAGTATTTAAGAAAACCTCGTTCATTGTATAGACATGGCCGATTATACAGAATCAGAAAATTTTTTTCAAGAAATGAAAGTTATCTTAATATAACTTTTAGATAAAGAATGATAAAATATTAGTATTTTAACTTTTGTACAATATGATAAACAATGTTAGGTATTTTATAAGAAAATTGATGATTAATCTTGCCGGTGATCGTGTTTATTGTGCAGTGTTAGCATCACGAATTCATTGCATGTGTGTTAAAAATCAGCATCATGGTTTCTAAATTTAAGCCTATGTTTATTATTCATCTCAAGTACCTTATCATACTGCTGTTGTTGTCCTGATTTGAGGGAAAGCTTCTATTAATCATCGACAACAACAACAACAATGAAATGAAATCAGGCCATTTTATGGTTCGTTTTTATGCTAGCCTCAAAAGATGTGCTGCGACAGTTGATGTGCAATGACTTTTAGTTCGAGTCTAGTAGAAATGACCTCGTGAAAAATGAACAAATTAGGGTTTATGAATATGTATTTATTGTACACGCTGTATTTTATACAAACCGAAAACTTTGATTGGCCATTTATGCACATACGATCACAAATTTTCGCAACTTTTATTAAAGCATTGTCTTACACATGCTATTAATTTGGAAAGTTATAATAAAATTTGGAATGATCATTTGTTTGTTTATGCATATACGATCACAAATTTTCATAAACTTTTTTTAATGCATTGTCTTACATATACTATTAATTTGGAAAGTTATAATAAAATTTGGAAATACCATATACCGATACAGTACAATCAATTCAAATAGACTTTAAGAATTTTTATGCATACTGCATTTAATCACGAATTTTCATAAGTTTGCTTTTATGCATTGTCATACTTATTAAATGCGGCACATATACTGTCTTGGCATCCTAAATAAACTGATAAATTTAGAAAGTTATAATAAAATTTGGAATATTATATGCAATTAAATTCAAATATGGACATTTCCAATAGAATTTAGAAAGTCACAATCAAATCCGGCGTTATTAAAACAATAATCGCATGTTGAAATAACTGTATTTTGGACATGCACCGTCTCCCAAAAAGAATGCAACACCTGATCAGCAATCTTTAAATGCTAAAATTTTAAGTAGGTTAAATCATATTATGATGAAATTTATAATATAGATAAAATATAAGTATGCTTAAATAATGTATAAGTTAAAATAGATATTAAATTAATAAAAAAATTTTTATGATT